AAAAAAAAACATGCGTTCATGGCAGAACCAGTTACAGTGAGCAAAAACTTGCCAATGTCATCGGAGGGAGGCCCTACAACAACATACTAAAATGATGAGTTCCCTACCCTCCATAAAAGATTATTCCAAACTGGATGCTTATTATATTACACCCATGGGGAAAAGTTATTTCTTCAATTATTTTTTTTGGGATATGATTTCCCCACTCCCCTTTTCTCCACTTACACTCCCTTTTGCTTTTTAATATTTTTTAATCAATTTTGTTCCGCAGTATTAGGGAATCACACAAGTCTAACATCAATAGCAAGTGTGGGTAGCTTTGGTGTTAAACAAAGGCAAGAGGGAAATGTTGGATTTTATTTATTTATACATTTTATACTTAGTAGCGATATATTAACAGGACGCATGTAGTCGCTGATATGCAAGCCTTTGCTCTCGATGATCAGCAGCCAACTTGGGAGACCTTGTAGCCTTCTTTTCTCGATTGCGTCGACGGACTGCTCGAACGGAAGAAAGTGCCAACTTCTCCTCCAACTCCGAATTGTTCAAATTGGGAAAATACCACCAAAATTCAGTCACTACCGTCTTCAAGTCCTTGGCCAGTAGAGCAAACGCTTCTACTTTTGTATGACATTTCACATTGTCGGTGCAGATAGGAAGGTCCGAAAAGGAGATGTATGTCGAAATTCGGCTAAGAAGTTCTTCCCCATAAAAATCGCCTTTCTCAAGACACCTTGTGATTGATGATGTTGATGATGAAGAGGAACCATCAACCTGAGTACCTGCAAAGGTCCATATAATTCCTTGTGTGATGAAGAGCATCAAGTCAAGTGGTTCTCCTGCTCGAATCACGTAGCTATTCTCCGAGTAGATCACTGGCTTCAGATAGTTGCATATCACTTTCAACACCCTTTCATCAGTACTTTGAAGCATTGGTACCTATACATATGTCATATTTATGCAATGAGAAATATTTAATCACGTGGTATAAATCGTTCATATGTTAAATAATGATCGTAGACAATACTAATATTTCTCACCTTTAAGGTAATAGTATCGATAAATATTCACTGATATATCTATTACATGGATGAGATATACTTTGCAAAATAAAATTATATAGCAGCTACAAAAAATGAGACCTCTGAAGGATGAGGAGGAGACGGGCAGTGTCTGAGTAGTGTATGTTGAAAGATCACCGGTGAAAATTTTGTTGGGAGGTTTTGCCTTGTGTGGAAATGATGTCTGTTTGTCCGTACTGATATCGTGTTGGAATTTTGATGCTCCAGCCGCACTTGTGTTCTTTGTATTTCTATTTGTTCACTTCACTAACGAAGACGATTTGAGGAGAGCCGCAATGTTATTCACATAGATTGAACTTGGGTCGATTTCGGAAAAATGATACTTGTAGAGAGTTGCATTGGTTGAATTTCCATCGTATTTTTTGTTTTCTTTGGTAATTGGTTTCCATTTCACAAACCTTCTGAGTAGGGGAGGGGTGGCAAGGCAACAATATATTCAAGTTAAGTCATTACAAATGATGACATGACATGGTTTGTCCAACTGATACATATACATCCTGTGTTTTTGAAGGAAAAGGAAATTGTTAAACCACAAAGCAAACTTGTGCACATGAAACATGACATTTTTCATAAACTTACGTGGTGGTGTTTCCTCTGATACAATGATGGCCATGGGTCCTCTCAAACCTCCACATCCATCAGTCGTAATTAGCACGATTTATGACAAAATCCGCACTTGCTAAGGGTGTCACCAATAATACCCTCCGAAGTAACATTGCAGATCAGAAATATCACCCAAAAATGAAGAACAAAAGTCATTTAAACCAAAATTATTGTTAAACCACAAAGCAAACTTGTGCACATGAAACATGACATTTTTCATAAACTTACGTGGTGGTGTTTCCTCTGATACAATGATGGCCATGGGTCCTCTCAAACCTCCACATCCATCAGTCGTAATTAGCACGATTTATGACAAAATCCGCACTAACAAAATTATCCTGTAAATCAATAGTATTCCATCATTTCAACAAAAAACTGCCAAGGAAATTACTGCAGGGACATGAGCCTCTGTGTAATCTGTGTAGGATTTCAATACAAACATCTCTCTCTTTCTCTCACTCTCTCACCTGAAACCAAGAGCTCAAATTGATAACAAAATTTGACATATAGAACTTACGTTAGTTAAAGATCAGTCTGAGAGAGAGGCTCAATTGAAAGCCCATCTCTCCTTCTGTTTTTCTCATCAACACGAGCCGAGGCCCAAGTCTAACACGAGCCGTCTTCCAGCCCCGCGACCTCTCATCTTCTTCAATCCTCATCTCTGTCTCTTCATTTCACGTGCGCACCACATTCCTCTGCAAGTGGAAGCCTCGTCTGTCTTCATTTGGAACAAAAAGGAGGCCGCCTAGACCAGCCCAGGCCGCCTAGGCACCGCCTAGAACCGCCCAGGCCGCCTAACTCCCATATAGCATCAGAGTTGTTATCTTAGTGGAGATTTCAATAGCTGAATGACATTTGATGGTTTCGTAGAGAGAGTCCAATCCGATCCAGTCAACACAGCAACTGAAACAAAAGAAAAAAAAATCGAAGCTTGAGTTGAGAGAGAGAGAGAGGCTCAAGACCGAACCTTTGAAGCTTGGAAGCGCATATAGAGAAGCGAAAATGGCTGTGACTGCGAGTGCAAGCTTCGCGTCGTTTTGGAATATATTTAACGAGTATTGGAATATTTTCGAAGCGTATGGCCGCATGGCTATATCTTGAAAATAATATATTTAAATAGTATAGCCTCTCGTCTATACCTTTAAAATATTCGAATATATTCAAACAGTATCGCCGCATGGCTATACCTTTAAAATAATATAGCCGCCCGGCTATAATATTTAAATATACAATTTTGTCATGTTATTTTAAATTACCACTTTAGCTAATTAGGATAGAGTTATTTCTTCAATTTTTTTTTAATACCAGTGATATTGGGAAATGAGAATTTAAATTCTTTCCGATACCTCCAATTCTAATGATTTCCAGCTATTAGTCCATTAGGCAAGAATAAAAAATAGATTTTATTTATAAGAAATAATATGGGTTAAACCCATAAATACAACAACAAAAAATAGGGATCCACCAACATTTTGGGATAAAAGAATCTTGAATTTCATAGTATAAAATTGCTTGTGTAAGAATTTACTTTCTAAAATGTATCCATCGTAATTATGAACTAAACCCAATGACAGCCTTTTTCTCATTGCACTTGACAGCCCTGCTCTTTTGCTATGAGATATATCAGTTCACGTTGTATTCTCTACAGATGAAAAATTGGATACAAAACGGTCTAATGAGACAACGAAGAGAAGAGTTTTGAAATAAATTGAAGGTATCTGAGGTCATATGGCATTGATATATATATGAACTATTCTAAATGTGATTTCAAACAACGTGTTAGATGAGAAGTAGCATCTCATTCTTACATATATCATACCCATGTGCACCTGAAATTCACAATGTTAAGAGGGGAGAAAAGTGCAATACCTCTCTTGTATCTCGCAAGCGTAGGAGATCCAGCCTTTCATGAGGATGCCGATTTGATAAAGAATCAAGCTGCATCCAATCATACATTAATACCGGCAATCACAGCCCACAATATACTCAATTTTAATAAAGAGAAATATAAAGTTACCTAGAAGCTGAAACGCTCAGGATCTTGTAGTGAAGGCATTAGCGCTTCCACGCCGAGAAGTCTCTAAAGTCGTCTTTGATATGTAAAGAGATACTATCATACCTCAAAAGGGCACATAGGTATATTGCATTTTTGTTAAATACAGGAGCAAAATGGTATTTTTATATTAAATTGATTAAAATATGAATAAAACATTAAAATTAAACTCTCTCTCTCTCACCCCCTCTATCCCAATTTATACTCCCCCAAACTCGAATTTTTTTTGTTGGTTTTTTAATTTAATTTTCTTTTATTGTTATTTTAAAAATATGATTTTTTATTCAATTTTTTTTAATTTTAATATAAAAAACCGTTTTTGCCCCTGCATTTAACAGAAAAAGTTAACAAAAGACAACAAGACCATTTGTCCTGACGAAGGTGAAGTTAAAGGACCACGGGAATGATTTTGGAAATTGAGGGACTCAAATGCAGATCGGGTCTAAGTTCAGAGACTAATAAAACGATTAATCCTATTATATTAAATGCTGAAAATTTCTCTACAACATGACGTGGGGGTTGGTTCCCTGGAACCAAAGGGGGTTGTAGAGAAGAAAGACCCCAAAAAAGAGAAGAAAAGGGAGAAAAAGGGTCTAGAAAAGCGACTTTAGTATTATCTTAATTAGATTACATTTGTATTTGTTTGGTCCCTCCCATTTGGCAGTACAAAATTAGAAGGAGACAAAGTATCGTAACGGCTAACGTAACTGTGATTAGAAAATAAAAGAGATACGGTGGCTGGCTGACAATGGCATCTGGGACTGGGAATATGCAGCACGCACATAAACACACAGCACACACTTGTTGAATTATCATTAAATGCCTTTATATTTGTGTTGGAAGCTGGGCGTATTATATTCTAATATCAAGATAAAGCTATAAAATAAAATAAAAATGGTTAAGCCGTGACGAGATGCTTGCTGTTATATTCAAAAGTGATGTTTTAAACGTGACAATAATTATAATATTGAATTTTGTTTTGTGTTGTAGAGTGCGATGTATGCATATTGGCATGTGGAACTTTGTTATAAAGGTTAAATTCAAAGGATAGAGTTGAATGCAAAGAAAATAAGCATGAAAAGTCGCCACAGCAGACAAACCTACCACAACTTAAGAATTCATGTATTCAAAAGAAAAGTAGACTTTTGTGTGCATACATGGTAAACTAGATTTTGCGCATTAAAAATAAAAAGAAAAAAGTAAACTAGATTTTGTAGTGAATTGCATAATGCAAATATTATATTAGTGAAGATGTAATGTGTCAAATATTATAAGTGGACTTGACTTTATGTCCCATATTATCAATGTAATCCTTACGAGTTATCTCTCTCATTATGTATGATAGATCAAGAGTTGGGCTCGAGAGAAATACTACCTATTCCCGTTTCATTGTTCTCTTCTCTTTATTTATCTAATCATGTCGACAAGCAAATAATGTAAAGGGAATATGAAAAATTCTGAACGGGGATTGGGCCTCGCAAAATCTCAATTTAAAGTCCAAAAGACACGCACATGGTGACAGAGGTGACACGACATAGGCCGGCGAATCAGATTAGTTGCTGAGGGCGAGCGGGTAGGAAGCTTCTCTGAGCTTGCCACCAACTCCAACTCAGTGACTAACCATCAACTGTCAAACTGGCTGGCTGGACTGGATTTTACCAGAATAGTAAGCAAGCACCACACCACACCACTTGCTCTTCTCCACCTTCCTCTTCCCTGTCCCTCCTTCCCTTCGCCTTGCTCCAATTATCATGCCCTCGATCCAGACACCCCCTTATGAAACCCTAACCATCCCAACCCCAATGTCCTCTCTCCTCTTTCTCCTTCTCCTCCTCCTTCTTTCCTCCTCACCTCCTCCAACTCTCTCCCAGCAAAACGACACCGTCGCATGCCCCCTCAACTTCGACGTCCTCCGCCGGTTCAACCCGGCCTCCAACCGCCCCAAATTCGACAGCAACACCGAGTGCCAGTACATCATCCAAGGCCTCCGGCTCGTCGAGGCACAGTACCTCCAGCTCACCGGCTCCTTCCTCCCCCCACCCAACGCCTCCGAATCCTGCTGGGCCGCCTACCAAGCACTAGCCTCCGATTTCGTCCCCAATTTCGACATTCGCGCCTCCTGCGGCTTCGAGACCAGCTGGATCTCGCAGGGCTGCATGAACATCACCACCAGGCAGCAATTCGAAGCCCTAGTCGGAAGCGCAACGCTTAAGGACGTCATCGACAACTGTAACCAGTCTCTCGGGAACAGCTCGCCCTGTGCCTCTTGCACCACCAGCTTGTCCAGCTTGCAAGCCTCGTATTTGACCGGCAAGTCCGTCGGGAACGTCTCCACTTGCACGGGGTACCCGTTGGTGTACGCGGCGGCTTTCGCCAATCAGTATGGGCCGGCCGATGTCGGCACCGCCCAGTGCCTGTTCGCGCTCAATTTCTCGCAGAGTTCCGGTAAGAAGAAAAAGACTGTTATTTTGATTTCTTTGGTTGCTTGTGGTGTTGCGTTGTTGGTTATAATTGGCGGGGTTTGGTTCTTGTGGCATAAATATGACCAATTTATGATCAAGAAGAGGAGAAAGGATTATAATGATAAAATTGAGAAGGGTTTGGGTTCTGCCTTAGAGTCAATTAGTGGAAGCACTACTTTGATTAAGTTTAAATACGAAGAGATTAGTGCCGCGACTAAGAATTTCTCTAGGGACAACATAATTGGACGAGGAGGCTATGGGAATGTGTACAAGGGCATTTTAGATGATGGCTCTGAAGTTGCATTCAAGAGGTTCAAGAATTGCTCGGCTGCTGGCGACTTGAATTTCGCTCACGAGGTTGAGGTGATTGCAAGTGTTAGGCATGTCAATCTTGTTGCTTTGAGAGGTTATTGCACTGCCACTACTCCTTTGGTGGGTCACCAGAGGATCATTGTGTGTGATCTGATGAAGAATGGAAGCCTCCATGACCATTTGTTCGGGTCTTTTGGGAGCAAGCTTAGTTGGCCAATCCGTCAAAGGATTGTGCTGGGGACTGCAAGGGGATTGGCATATTTGCATTATGGGGCTCAACCAGCTATTATCCACAGGGATATCAAAGCTAATAACATACTTTTGGATGAGGCATTTGAGGCCAAGGTGGCAGATTTTGGACTTGCAAAGTTTACAGAAGAGGGAATGACGCATATGAGCACGAGGGTGGCTGGAACGATGGGTTATGTTGCTCCCGAGTATGCATTGTATGGCCAATTGACGGAGAAAAGTGATGTGTATAGTTTTGGTGTTGTGTTTCTTGAGCTTTTGAGTGGAAAGAAAGCGCTTCATGTGACTAATGATAACCAGCCATCGCTCGTGACTGATTGGGCATGGGCGTTGGTGCGAAATGGACAACCCCTGGATGTTATTGATGATGATATGCCAGAGAAGGGCGCACCTGAAGTTTTAGAGAAGTATGTATTGATTGCTGTTCTTTGTTCTCACCCACAGTTGTATGCTAGGCCAACAATGGATCAGGTTGTGAAAATGTTGGAAACAGACTTGTCAGTTCCCTCAATCCCGGAAAGACCGGTTTCCATTGTGGCTAATATTGAAGACATTGAAAGACACAGCAGTAGTGGCTCACTTCAGCTCTCTAGTTCAGGTGGCTATCAGACTTATACATTTGAAAGTCACCTCCCTTTTAACCCTAAGGGAGACGGAGAAAGTTCATTTTCCGGAGTATCAACTGTTTGACAGATTCCACTGATTGGTATGTTCACCCCCATTTGTTTGTTGGTCCAGATTGTATGGTTTTATAATCAAATTTCCCACTGTAAATATAAAATAGATGTATAACTAAAGCTGATTCTTTATTCAAGTGAAATAGAACATAACACACTACACATTTTGCCTGTCAGTGTCCTTTGTTACTTGAGCCCCTAATAGATATGGAAGCTTATTGTATCATTGAAGTTTATTGCTTTGCAAATCCAAAGATGTCAATATTGTTCGTATATCACAATATTTATCTTTGTCCAAGGAGGGATGGTTATGGAAATGTGATGCGAGGGATGGTTATGGAAATGTGATGCCTTTTGTTGCGAAAAAACTCGAAATTATCCATGCCTACTAAGATGCGGAATTTTGTTTTTCATCCATGATTTAGTGGTCATAGTTTCTGAGTTCAAAGTTCCTGTGAAAACGTAGACTGGTTGGTATATTTTGAGTAGGGCTTTTCATAATTCAGAGTTACGCTGAAAAAAAAAATCCGCATTTACTTGCCTTAGGTAAATGTAATGAAAGCAAAATTCAGGGCAAGGTTGGTAGGTAAAGTTTCATGTCTTTTGTCATATTTTTCTAAAAATTGTTTTCATAGCTGGTACTGGGGTGTCGCAAAGTACCCACTGGTATTATTGTAAGAGAAGTGAATAATTTCAAAGCTGTCAACACGACAAATCTCTTGGGACCACGGCCTATCATTTTCAATAAATTACTGGTTTGGAGATTCTTTTCCAAGTTTGATTCTGTGATCCAAGTCGACTCAAGACTGCAACTATTAGCTTAACTTATATACGGTGGATCTGGGTTTTAGCGGCCATGATCATAGATCTATAAATCTGTCATTTTATTTGAATTGAGTGCCTATCTTATTTTTTGGGTTACAGACAAATGAAGCTTTAGACAACGTGGGTGTCTGATGCTTAAAGACCCAGAAATAGAAAATTAAAAAGGGAGCTCAAATTCAAAGCTAAAGAAGAATGGTTGTTCAATGATTGAGAACCTTGTTTTAAGAAAGTGTCATTAGTGTGCCGGCAAGTGAAAATGGCATTGACTTGCAGATTAGTGGTCTCAAGTTCGAACCACCATGACACCTTCGTAGTATGTGTGTGAGAAACCCCTAGTATCACTTGTATTCATAAAATGAAAATGGCATTAGCGTCAAGTTTCTCTTGGTATATACTTATTTACCCAAAAATTCCCAATGGTATTGCCCTTTGCCTCTAATAATTCATCTTACATAATAAAACCCACGTCCACTCAGATTTTTTTAAATATATTTTCGGCCACATTTAATATGGTAACACCAGCTAGCAGCAGAAAGAAAGGGACATAACAGCAAATATATCAATCGAATTGTTAGAACTTAGAAAGCTTGGATTTGATTATCTGCAAAATGCCTATTAAATGAACCACAAAATTAATGAAGTTCCATCTTTTGAAAGGAAGATAAAGAAAGAAAAGAAGAGATCAGATGAACCTGTACTGGCAAAGCAATCACTTTGACTAGACCTACATTCTTCCTTTATCTTCTCTCTCGGATTTTAATCTGCATCTTCTTCTTATCTTCAAAGCCATAGAAGGTTTTGTGATAATTTTTGTCATTCTTCCTTCCTTCCTTGTTTACGTGAAACCCATAACTTTTTTGTTTTTGTTTTTGTTTTTCGCATTGACACGACAGGGCAATTTTTTCTTGAATACCACAGCGATTCTTTATTCCTCTTTTACTTAACTGGTGTTATGATGTTACTGCCTGCCTTGTCAGCTTATGCAATTGGTGGAAAAACTTGAGCACAACGACAATTGCCTGCATTCAGCTCTTCGTTGTTTTTATTAAATCAACCAGGCACTGTCAGTGAGAACACGTAAGTGTAAGTCAACCTTTAGAAGTTGGAAAAAAGTTACTTTCGTAGAAAAAATTTACATCCTTTCTCACATATAGCTCTCTCGTCTCTCCATGTCTTTGCCAATAAGAGGATAAAGTTTTACTGTTTCCTGGTTTCCATTATTTGATAGTTTCTTGCTTACACCCATCTCTTTGAATCTTCTTCACTTTGCCATTTACAAAAATTCATATAGACAGTGGGAGTTATATAATCAGGCAGACATGGACATCAAAGAGGATGTAGAGAGTGATTTGCAGGAGGGCATAACAGATCCACTCATGAGGGTAGAGAAGAACTTGGCTGATGGAGGAAGCAGCAGAGGAGGGAATCAATGGATGGTTTACCTCAGCACATTTGTTGCAGTCTGTGGCTCTTATGAATTTGGATGCTGTGTAAGTTCTTTTTATGCATTTAGCTTTTCATTAATATAGCTGTAAAGTTGTGATCGTTGGACAGGAGAATTCTGACACTCTTGTACTGCCGGCTTCCAGATCGGTTATTCGTCGCCTACCCAGTCTGCCATCAGGGAAGATCTCAGTCTTACATTAGCAGAGGTATGCAATTTATTGCAACATTTATAACTGCTCTATCAATATTTCTATCAGAGCTGTTCTTTTGGATATGTAAGTTCATGAGTGGAAATCTCTATCTGTTGTACTGGAGGACTGAGGGTTTGCATTGTCTGCTATGCCATTGCTTTCAATCTCTGAATACAATGGGACAATGTTTAAAAGCAATTCAGTAAACTTTCAGCATAATGCTTCATAAATTTTTTCTTTCAAATAACTTACTGGATATTCCTTTAAATGCTAACAAAAAAATAACTTCTAATTGCTATCTTGACAAATTCTGCATGCAGTATTCAGTGTTCGGCTCCATTGTGACATTTGGTGCAATGATAGGCGCTATTACAATTGGGCCCATCACTGATTTTCTTGGTCGAAAAGGGGTACGATTGCGAAACTATGTTGAATATACAGGACACACCGGTTATTAAGAACTTTTAGCAGTAATTTAAATCTGTTTCCATTGATATCACCATGTAACAATATCTATACTGCAAAATTGTATGCAGGCCTTGAGAGTGTCTTGTGCTTTCTGTGTTGCAGGTTGGCTTGCTATTTACTTTTCCAAGGTTCGTATGATTTTGCACTTAAATTTTTGTCTGTGCTTTTAGATACTAAGCAAATGTTCTCCTCAGATATTTGACTTTAGTCATGTTCTCTATCTTATTGCTACTGAAGGGGGCTTTGTCTTTGGACATTGGGAGACTGGCAACTGGATACGGAATGGGAGCCTTTTCATACGTGGTAAGTTGTTTACCCTCCTCTAGAGCCCCAGTATTTTTTCAATACATGTTATTGACAAAGATTAATGCAATATTGGATGGATGATAAGGTACCTGTTTTCATAGCTGAAATTGCACCCAAAAATCTTCGAGGAAGATTAACTGCTATAAATCAGGTAAACATGTAACAAGAAATGCAATCCTTGAACCTAGCTAGTAGAATTCTTTTGTGAGTTAGCTTTGATATTTTAAGCAAGAAATTGATGTGGGTTAGTTCAACAACAAACTATATGGGTTTGGATTCGAACATATCTAACTTTGTCTTCTGCTTATTTTATAGTTAATGATCATTTCTGGAGTGTCCATTTCCTTCATAATTGGGGTACTAGTAAGCTGGAGGGCTTTAGCATTAATCGGTGATTTACTTAGACAGACTGTGCTTTAGAATACTTATCTAATATAGTAGTAGAGTGCTCATTTGTGTGGTGATTGCAGGACTAGTTCCCTGTGCAGTGACCATTTTCGGTCTCTTTTTCATTCCCGAGTCTCCAAGATGGTTGGTAAGAACTACTTTTCTTTTTCTTTTTGTAGTTATATAATGGAAACATTCAACAAGTTGATGACTTCCTCATCAATTCAGGCGAAAACAGGACGCCAGAGAGAGTTTGAAATGGCACTGCAGAAACTTCGTGGCAAAGATGCTGACATATCTCATGAAGCAGCAGAAATACAGGTTCTTCTTTTCAACCCTCAACTCCATCTCCTAGCCTACATTGACAATATCTTGGAGCATCAGGATGATCATATATGTTATGGAATAACATGTAAATACCTTTATAGGATTATATCCTAACTCTTGACCGGCTCCCTAAAGCCAAATTGCTGGATTTGTTTCAAAGGAGATACTTGCGCTCAGTCATGGTAAGAGCTTCTTTCTACACCGTTTGTACTGTCAGTTTTTTCTTTCTTTGCCTTTCTGGTTAGACCTTTCTTTGCTATTAATCTTGGTTTGATCAGATTGCAGTTGGGTTGATGGTCTTTCAACAATTGGGGGGAATCAATGGGGTCTGTTTCTATGTCAGCAATATCTTTGAACAAGCAGGTAGAAAGAAAGAATAGCTTGGCATTCTGGCACTCCTACAATCTATGTTTGCAGTATCTACAACTTTAATGTACTTTTCTGTATCTACTTCAGGATTTTCTTCCAGCGTTGGAACTATAACTTACGCTGTTCTTCAGGTTCGAAATCCCTACTGTGACAGCTATTGGAATCTTCGAATTTTTATCCACTAAAGCATCTTGATGTGGTTCTGCTTTACAGGTTGTGGTTACTGCCGTTGCTGCATCCGTAATGGATAAAGCTGGACGAAAGCCTCTAATTTTGGTAAATTGGTGCACAGTTTTTGTTCTGAGAATTTGCTGAGACAAGTTGCTATTCACATTCAGAAGGTTTAACTTTTTCCGATTTATTCTAGGTGTCTGCGTCAGGGTTGGTACTTGGCTCTCTCCTGACTGCGATTTCATTCTTTCTGAAGGTAATCCTCAATCAGTGACACCCTAACGTCTCTCTGTTTAGGTTTATCCAACATAACATGACGAAAAGCTCTTTGTGAACCAGGTTCATGAATTGGCACTCACGGCAACTCCCATACTTGCTGTAACTGGCATACTGGTAACTGACGAGCCTTGTCGAAATATATTATCCACGCAGATCGTTCTCTTTTAACATTGAGTTTCCATTTTTTTCTCTTATATTTCTTTAACAATTTGTTTCTGGATTCAGATATATATAGGATCCTTCTCAATAGGAATGGGAGCAGTTCCTTGGATTGTGATGTCTGAGGTATATAAAATTTGCAACATTTACTCATCTAACCGTCCATAATCGATCATGTCACCGATCTGAATAAAATTCCATCTGCTGCAGATATTCCCTATAAATATTAAAGGGCAGGCTGGAAGCTTTGCAACTTTAGTGAACTGGCTTGGTGCATGGTTGTGTTCCTACACTTTCAACTTTCTTATGAGTTGGAGCTCCTATGGTAAATACCTTTTCCTTTTCTGATTACAAAAACTAGAGAGTAATATTTAGTAGAGTTAATTTATAAAGCAATCTGATTATACATGGTAATAACTCATTACATGTCTCTATTTTCAGGTACCTTCATTCTGTATGCAGCCATCAATGCTCTGGCTATATTGTTCGTGATCTTGACGGTACCGGAAACAAAAGGGAAAACGCTGGAACAAATCCAAGGAGACATTAATAAATAGAGAATTGAAGGAAGAATTAAAAAAGAAAAGAAATGAAGAGCAATTTTTGTGGTCATTCGTTGCCGTTGAAAATTTTGACAGCACAGTGCAGCAGATTGATTGATGGAATCTTGAGAGATGCTTCCAAACCACAAAAATATTGTACTGCTACTGTTTACCCCACAAAAACGTTGCCCCTACTTCCTTTTCATTTGTTGCAACGACTGTTTGGCATTGATTGGTTTATTTATTTTGCTTTTGTTTTTGCCCCTGGTACTGTATTCATGTCCTTGTTTACTGGTTCCCTTTTTGGGGTTTTCAAAGGTGTAGCTTTGGTGGTTTTCAATGCCACTGCTAGTGCATCTTCTTCTTATTTCTTGTCAAAGTTGATAGGGAGGCCCATTGTCTTCTCTCTTTAGCCTGACAAGCTGCAGTTTTTCCAAAACCAGGTAAATTCAAATGTCTCCATATCTCTCATTGATACTAACTTCAAAAATAGGAGTAAGTCATTTATTTTTTCTTCCAGGTGGCTAAAAGAAGAGAGGGACTTTTGAACTACATGTTGTTTCTACGATTGACTCCAACCTTGCCAAACACGTTTATTAATCTTGCTCCACCAATAGTGGATGCACCCTATCATATTTTCTTCTTGGCAACCATAATTGGTCTGATACCAGCTGGTTATGTCACTGTCAGGGTATGTGTCTTTCACTTCTATGAAAATTTTGGGTTAAGTTATGAAGTTCAATTGTGGTCTCAGAACATCACAA